ATGGACCGCATCGTCCGAACTTCGTCCAGACAGAATGTATTTTCCTATTTTATGTACTAAGTGTTGTACTCAGCCCATTAGTGGCCTTATTTGCCCAAAGAAGGCATAATTATTGTAATGGGCCTCCTAAGCCCAAGGCTAGGGGCCCAAATCCATATTTTTACCTATAAATAGACCCCAAGGGGCTAATTATAGGGGATGGGCAAGTTGAGAAATACAATTACTCACTTTCTCTCTCTAGCTCTCACTTCTCTCTAGAATTAATACTCTATCAGATATCTTACAAAATATAACAGAGAGAGTATTATACGAAGTACTCCGTATTTGTTTGCATGTGTTATTTAGTTTTTTTTTGCGGGTATACCCGACCCGGATCCGAGACTGCCGGATCCAAATCTGGAACATATGTTTAGGACCCGAAGGGTAAATGAGTCCGGATCTAAACCAAAAAAAATTCAATGGGTATGGATATGAAATTTATAGTTCCGGCCCGTATCCGACCCTTTGACATGCCTATATCCATCTAGTCTCTCGATATTTAAAAGATCGCTACATTAGGTATTGACATAAAATTTAAGATGGAAATAATAAGAATAATGAATAGTGTAGAAAAAATAAGAGAGAATATGTAAAAGTATTAAAAAGAAATAAAAAGTAAATAAAGTAAGGATAGTTGAGTATTTTATAAAGGATATATTTACCTAAAATGAAAGTGCAAAGAAATTTTAAATACAACCTAAAAAGGAAAGTGTAGAGAACTTTTAAATACGGAGAGGGTATTAAATTTGTCTCATATCATATTTGACAATATTTTAGAAATTATAATTCATTTTTATTTTATGCATACTTTATTAACTAGATATCAACAATACAATATTTCTTTTCTTAAAAAAAAACAATCACACTCGTTTGTCCAATCTTAATGGGGACATAGATTGTAATAAATTGTTGAAAAATAGAAATAAGATATTTCCTTCATCTCACAGATTTTACCAACTTTTCTTCTTTTTAATTGTCCGAAAAACTTTTTACTTTTGGATTATTCGCTAAATATATCTCCAACTATCATCAAATTCATAAATTTATCCCATACTTTTACTTTTATTAAAAGAGAAAAGGGTCAAATTAGACCTTCTACTATTATGAAATAGTCACATAAGGTCATGTACTCAATAAAGTGTCATATAAGTACATTTACTTGTAAAAAGCAATCAAATGGGTCCTAATGACCTATTTAAGACCCCTTAATCCCGGTTTTAGCGTACTTCTGACCATCTTTTAAGAATAGATTATACGGCATACGTCAAATATTTAACTAAAATTGGTAGAAATACAAGTCAAAAAAATCGACATGTAAGCTAAAATCGGGATTAAGAGGTTGTAAATAGATCGTTAGGACTCATTTGATTGTTTTTTACAAGTATAGGTACTTATATGACACTTTATTGAGTACATGGCCTTATGTGACTATTTCATAATAGTAGAAGGCTTTATTTGACCTTTTTCTCTTATTAAAAAGAAGACTCCAACTTCAACTTTTCTCACAATCACACTTTCAATGCATGAATTAATAAACATTAAGAAGAAAATCATATTCATATTTCATATTTTTAATTTGTTTATAGTTTCAAGTTTATAAATTTGTATTGCTTATATCTAATTAGTATTGATAAAATGTGTAATTTTGAAAAAACAAAGAAGAAAAGCATAATCGTTGAAAAAAAATGAAGTTTGAGTCCTTTTTTGATAAAAATAAAAGAATGGGATCGACTTGTGAATTTGATGATAGTTGGGATAACAATAACCTAATAATCCTTTACTTTTTTTATTTCACACTTTACACTAAGTTGATAATGTCGAATGGGACGGACATAATATGAAATATTTGCTCCCTTCGTATTTTAATGTTCACTACAATAAGTTTGGACACATTATTTAAGGGTGAAATAGTATGGGTAATGATAATGTCGAAAAAGTGGGACAGATGGTGGAAAGTATGAAAGACAAGGTAAAAACAAAAAAAATAAGGGTAATTCAGTATTTTTAAACGAAAAACTTACCAAAAAAGGAGTGTGACAAACTTTTAAATACATAAAAAAAAAGTATACAAACATTAAAATAGGGAGGTAGTACAAGAATAGTACTTACTCTCTGCTATGGACATTTTGAGTGGAAAAGAATAATAAAAAACTTTCAAAATAGATAACAAAAGACTAAATATAAAGAAACTGAAAAGACTAAAACACCTCAGAAAGGGAAAACTGTCGAATAGGTCCTCGAACTTTCATAAAAAAGTCAATTAAGTCCTTCTATAAAAGACTTTGTCCAGTCGTCGCAATTTGGGGCGGTTCCCGGTGGAATTTTTTGATGAAATTTTTTGAGTATCTTATTCATCAAGTCTAGTTTACTCATACCAAATTTCAGCTAAAAATTTAATCGAGAGCGCATTCAAATTAATTCGAGAACGCAAAAATGTGCAGTTATCTTCAAGAATTAATTTGAATGTGTTCCCGATTGAATTTTTAGCTGGAATTTGGTATGAGTAAACTAGACTTGGTGAATAAGATGCTCAAAAAATTTCATCAAAAAATTCCACCGGGAACTGCCCCAAATCGCGACGGCCGGACAGAACCTCCTAAAGAAGGACTTAATTGACCTTTTTATGAAAGTTCGAGGACCTATTTGACAGTTTTCCTCCCCCTCAGAAATAAAACTCCCAAAAACCCAAACCACTTGCTCGCATGCCCTTGCCTCATGAGTAATGGCAGAGCCAGAAATGTGTATTATAGGGGTAGAGCCTAAAGGGATTACTTTGTGGTGCCAAAACTTAATATGTTAACATGTTTTTTAGCTTGTTTATTTATACATTTATAATTCGTATATGTACTAGAAAAGAATATTATAAGGGGCTCCGAGCTTTATTTTAAAACCCGAAACGGATCGGGTGGGTTGACCAAGAACCCGGTCACCCGGAGCCCAATGCAGTCGAGTAACTCATCAAACTGCTAATCTTGTAGAACCCGGATTTACCCGGTTGATCGGTCAAACCCGGGACGGCGCAAACCCGGAATATTCATAGAACCCGGAATCATGTGCAAAGATACACACCTGAAGGGATTCGAACTCGGGTCTATGTCGTGAAAAGCCCGCCTCCAAATCAGCGAACTACGCTACGTCATTTGTTCATGTTGGTTTTAACTGGATTTAATAAGTATTTCAGTTTATATACAGAGACCACGATGGTAAGAGCTTGCACTAGGGTTTTGGCTACTAGCAGCGTTATTCATCTGAGGATTCGAACATGAGGCTTCTAAGCTTTCCTGGATCGGCAAGGCAATTGTGTCGGGCGTCAAGGTGACCTTGTGAAGGCATGGCATATGATCGTTTGGTCTTTGAGTAAGAAGATGAAGTGTTGATGTTCATATCCCTCTTGAACCCCCACTAGGGAATGAACGAGTAGTTGGGGATTCGAAGATAACATTTTAAACATGCATTTGAGCACCTACAATGTTTTGCTTAATATTTATTTTAAGTTTATATTTCTTTTGTTACACAATTCTTCTCATTTTTGGATAGTTTGTGTTTGTGGTAAGCTTGAGATGTCTTGTACTCTTGTTTAATGATGATTGGAGATATTGAGGCTTCTAAAGTCGTTAATTGCTTCGAACCTCCTGTATGTTTAGTGAAAAGTCTCGCTCAATTTTGGGTGGAGTTTTCTATGACAGATTAACGATTGAAAGATCCTTTTGGTTATTATGGGTGTAATGGGAATGAACGGTTAACTTGTGATTCTATGTAAAGTTAATGATTTTTATTATATCAATATAGATGATTTACTTTCAAATAGAAATTTGGCACATTCACCAAATCAGCTAATTTCATTACTTTCAACAATTTTATTTAATCAGCTAATTTCATTGGTACCAAACAGACTCTTAATGTGCAGATATAATGTGAATTATAGTTATGTCGCAAGTCCCAGCAAATATTAGGAACCTATTTGGTAAATTACGTTTTCAACTTATTAGTCTTTTTTGGCAAATAAATGGCTTTTAAATTTGCACATTGCATTGTGTAATAATCAAAATAATTAATGTTGAGGAGTAGGGTGACTCTTCCGGCTAATTGGCATAATTCACTTAAACAAGTTTTTTTTAGTTATTATCACATAATGTTTTTTTATTTTATTAATAAAATATAAGGATTTATTTTTTTTCATATTTCAACAGATTTAGTCAATTTTAAGGTTATGAAGCAGATTCCTAACGTTTCCTAATAACAAAAAATCAAAACTAAGTTTTAAATTTTATATCACTATTTAGAAATAATATTGTATACAACAATAAAACTTAATGTTTGATATCACTATATCAATATTGTTTTCACTATATCAATATTGTATACTATGTCAAATAAAACTTAGAAATAATATTGTATACAACAATAATATAACTATATTAATGTTTGATATCACTATATCAATATTGTATACTATGTCAAATAAAACTTTGTTGTACATCAAATTTGTAGACATTTCACACACATTTGTACATAATTGTTTGTACACAAGCAACTAGGGGTGAGCATTCGATCGGTCGGTCAAATGACCGACAGATAACTGAATAACTGACCAAATGTTTTCACTCTAATAACCAGCCGATAACATCACCATAACCGACCGAAAAACCGTAGTTCGGTTTTGGTCGGTAACCGAATAACTGACAATAACCGACCATATAAATTTTTTAAGCACATTTTTTTCAAAAATTTGAATGGTTTAAACAAAACATATTAGAAAAAGAATTTGATACAAAAAAGGATGAGAATAGTTGATTTTTTACACTACAAAACAAAATGAATGAAATAATTGATCATATATAAAAGGCTAAAGGGTTGTTGAGGTTTAGTCTCGTAGATCAGAAAGCCCAACACATTCTTTGGATATTAAGGATCTTTGTCTTGGTAAAAAGGTGTATAAAATATAAAACAGTGAATTATCAATGAACTCAGGAGCTAACTTGTATTACGTAATTCTGCGATTACAATGAAACTACCCGAACGTCAGTCGGTATGAGTTCAAATACAAGAACAAGAGATATGATTCTATTGCTAAGCTCTGAGTATCAAATTGCTAACCATTTACAATGTATTAAACGCATGTATTTTTACTAGAGAGGGGGGGGGGGGTGAGATGGACACGTGGCCGAACCCAGTAGGCTGTTACCTCTGCCACGAGTGCAACCATGCCTCTACTTGCTATTGCCATAATTCAGCATTAAATGTGGTTCCCACTTGTTGACTACCCGTCCGGGAAGTGCGTTCGGCGTGCAGGACCCCTTTGTGGGTGTTTGGCTGCAAGTATTTTGTTGGATTATCTCAAGTGAACAAATCTACACAAATGTTGTTCAGGTATCCCCCGTTCGGGACGTCTTGGACTTTTCTGATTGCGTTGGGCTTCGTGTTTTCCCTGGGTCTTCTTTATAATTTGGTCCGGGCGTATTGGGCTTGGGCCCAATACCCCAACAAGGGTCAAATAGGCCCTCGAACTAACTTAAAAAGTTCAATTCACCTCTTATATCGGAGGCTCTGTCCGGCTGTCGCCAATTGGGGCGGTTCCCAGTGGAATTTTTTGATGAAATTTTTTGAACATTGTCTTCATTAAGTCTAGTTTACCCATACCAAATTTCAGATAAAAGTTCAACCGGGAAGACAGCCAAACGATTTTCTGGAATGTACTACGTTGTTTAACTGCGGAGTTATCTTCAAAAATTCATTTGACTGCCTTCCCGATTGAATTTTCTTCTGAAATTTGGTATGAGTAAACTAGACTTAATGAAGAAGGTGCTAAACAAATTTCATCAAAAAATTCCACCGGTAACCGCCCCAATTGGCGATGGCCGGACATAGCCTCCTATATAAGGGTGAATTGAACTTTTTAAGTTAGTTCGAGGGCCTATTTGACCCTTCAGCCTATATAAAATGCTTTTTCTCCATTCATGAAATAAATAAGAAGAAATGAATTAAATTATCTCATAATAAAATTAATTTTCTTACGCTACTGGTAGTTTTTCTTGTGCATGAGTGTCATTTTATCTCTTTGGGATCAACCACTAAATACTAAATACATGAGATTGATTAAAATAGGAAAATTGATAGTAATAATCCCAATTATTGGCGGTCCGCTCATAATAATCCCAACTATCGATTATTTCAGAATAATCTCAACTTTAGAGACTGTCCGCCAATAATGGTCCGACGTGACCGGCTATAAATAAATTCCTATAGTTTCTAAAGTGGATGAGAAGAGATATATGAAGTAATCCCTATAAATAATCCCAACTTTTAATTTTTACGTTTAATTTCTATTTAAATTCACCTCTTATAGTAGGTAATATCCGGTCATGGGCTATTATTGGCGGACGGTCCATATAGTTGAGATTATACAAAAATAATAAATAGTTAGGATTATTGTTAGCGGATTAGTAATAGTTGGGATTAATAATTTCATTTTTCCATTAAAATATGAGGGCTTTCCTTAAATATTCCTACATAATAAAGTAAACTAAAATATGACTAAAGTTAACATGAGTATACCATTCATGATTAAAGTTACAATCACGCACATTAAAATTACACTTATAGTCATTAAAGTATGAAATGACATATTTGTATCCACAATATTCATTTTGGTCATATATTTGACATTACTTTTTAGAGTAATTATGATATATTATTAAGTGAAACATCATAGCATACATGGAGTACATACAAATGTTTATACGGAGTAGACTATACTTCGATTTTCGGTTAACCGACCGATAGCCGATTAAGATAACTGACTGTTAATTGAATAACCGAATAACCGATTTCTTTTAATATGTAATAACCGTTGACCGACCGATAACCGACTTTTTCGGTCGGTTTGGGTATCGGTTTTCGGTTTAATCAGTTTTGTTGGTTATTGCTCACCCCTACAAGCAACTAAAGAGTCTACACAATATTTGTGTGCACAAACAATAATATACAAATGTGTACGATATGTGTATAAAAATGGTGTACAAATAGAATTTTTCTATTGTATATAACAAGGAATGTCTAGTTGGGCTTGGGATTGGCGGCGATGTGTGCTGATTTGGAGTTTGTGAGTGTGGGTCTTCCGATGTCTTAGGATTTGTTGTTTTGGCACAGCATTGATGGCATTTGCTTTTTCGTTCACATTTATTTGCTATTTCACTATATTTCACTATTGCTGTCTTTGAGTTAGTCCTAGCCCCCCATCATATGTAAGGTGTAGAGACTGTATACCAAGCTCATTTCTTTTGAGTCTTTTATATTATGGGCCCGTAAGTTTTACTATTGGGGTTAGGGTTATATTCTCTTTAAATACCCACCCTCTCATTGTAATCATTCTCAGAAAATAATAATAACATTTTGGCTTGGTAGCGCTCTGAGACGTAGTCATTCTTGACGAACTGGGTTACCAAATCTTGTATTTTCTTTTTGTCTTTTGTATTGTGCGTGTGTTTTATCTTCACATCATATACTTCAGTTCTATTTTCATCAATAAAATTCGATAAATGTTTATTAAAAAAAGGCAAGGAATGTCCAAATAGCAGAAAAACATGTCTGGATAGCAGAAACACGAAGAAAGGGAGAGCCATATAAAGTTAGGATGTTTTTAATTGGACTGTTCAACCTCAAACCAAACTAGACTTAAATAGACTAGACCAGACCAGACTTCCTTGGTTATAGATTACATAGAGACCAAACATTTTTTAGACCAAACCAGACCAAACTAGCAAATTTCTGTCCAATGAAATAAGAAGGGAAGAAAATGCTTCTTCCATGAGTTGCTTCTAAAAATCTACCTTTCTTTGTCAACATAGTTTGTTTTTTATGACTTGTTTAGGATACCAATTTTTATTAATTTTAATTTCTAGAGCTATCAATGTACTTTCTAAACATGTAAATTTTTATTAGTAAAACTGATTAACTATATACAGGTTTGGCCACTTTTAACCATTATTGTGTCAATGACACTTCTAATATCGGTATTTTTCCATTTAACTTTATCATCAAATTGCAAATCAAATTATCAAAGTGAGTAAGCCGAGAAAGTATGATCACTGCTAGAACGAATATATGAGAAATTACCCTAAATAGGACTAAAAGTACTTCTATATTCCAAAAATAGGACTGTCATGTTTTTTTCCTCAAAATAGGACTAATTACTGCCATGTTTTGGCAGTACCAGGCTTTAAAGATGACAGTATTTTCCAAATTTGACAATGATTACTCCTATTTTGGGAATAAAAACATGACAGTCCTATTTTGGAATTTTCAAACTTATTTAGTCCTATTTCGGGAACTTTCCCTTTTTATTTTAACAAGATTTAGTTTGGCTAAACAAAATAAGCATGATATCATTATGAAAGAGACGATATAACAAGATTACCTAAATGGCGCTCTTCCATACTTCGTAATACGAAGTTCGTATGTAACAACCCGGTAAATAAAATAAATACAATGGCGACAAACCAAATTATCATTATATATGTGTGTGCGTGTGTGTATACTTCGTACATAATATCCTCACATAAATATCTTTATTTTTTATACTAGACTAGATGTTTTGGACTTCCGAAAAAACATTTTATACAACGATATTCAGTTTCAGATCAAATTTTTTAAAACAGTCATATATGTTCCACATAGGCACATATTATCAAACAGCGCCATCTTATAAGTATGTTTTGCTTCACTAAACAAATACAAAAATACTTGTGATGGGGGTTAAAGGAAAAAAGTATTGGATATTCACTGGCATGGTCATCACCTCCTTTCAATATAAAAAGCTGTTTATAATTACCTCATTTTTACTATGCCACAAAGAAAAGGAAGATCATGAGGAAGAAAATCAACACAAAGAATATCTTAATCATTAGCCACCTATTAGATGAGATGCTGTTGAGATACTTGAGTAATGCCCCTTGTGCCCCTTCTACATTTGCGAGTGTGTCCTCCATATTCTCATCAATCCTGCAGTATTACCCCAATTAATTGTCCATGTCTTCTTTTTCATGCATATACCCTTCGACAAGGTGAAAACATGTGTGTGTGTGTGTGTGTGTGAAACTGCTCTGTATACAGAGCTTAACGGCAAATTAATCAGCCCAAACACTATCCAAGCTTAATTAAGTGGGGCATATAGCTTTGCAGCAAATTAATCAGATCAAACGGTTTATAAGCATTATTAAGTGGGGCCTAAGCGGGGCAAACACCTGGGAGCTAAAGAAGCCTATCGTCATGCAGAGGATTAATAGGGGGATAGGCTAGAATATATAAGCAGAATAACAATCTAGGTAGAATTTCATGGCCAAATTGACTAGAACTTTGACCAAATTTGGAATTCATGACCAAGATTGAGATTTGGGTATTAGTTTCATAATAATTACTAATCAGGCTATTTTGCTTGACATACATGTAATGCATTTCAAGTGTAAATAACTTTTAGAATGTTTATTTTGATTGTACTTGTATTTTATTATGAAGATAAATATGAATGTATTCAACAATATCCAAAACCAGCAGAAGAAGGAAACATAAATATGAATAAAATCACACCACAACATAAAACTGTATTCAACTATGAATAAAATCTCACTGGAACTACCAACAATTTCTAACAAACAGAAACAGAAATATAAATGAATTTAGTTTGTTAGTGTTAAATGTTTACGTTTACGTTTAGAAAAAGGTGAAAAATAAGACTTATAAATTCATGCGCATAAGATGGCATTAGAAACAAAAATTGAAACAGAAAATATGGGAAGCCATTATATCCCACTAATAGCCTAATATGGTTAGATCAACTCGTGAACATAGGTTTGGGCTATTTCTTCTACTAATTATGAATAGTGTTCTGCCTTAAGCCCAAATCTAGAGAGGATGTTGTGACTTGTGAACCCAGTGGTCCACCCTGAAGAATCATAAATGGTCTTCAAAACTAGCCCTTGAATCCTTTACATAGGTGCATCCGTGCATGTAAAAACCCCACTGATAAAACTCCTTTACTCATGTGGTCAGCGATTATGAATCTCTTCCTTTTACTTAAAAAATACACAAAAAAACATTAATTTTTTAAGAGAAAAACTTAAAGTATTTATCTTCTTCCGTAACTTCCCAAATTTTTAGTTAGCTGGATCTCTACCCTAAAACAGCTTCTCTTCTCTCCACAGGTAAGGTCTGCACATATCTCACCCACCCCAGACCATACTATTGAGTGGGACCTACTGTGTATGTAGGGATTAGAAACAGACTAGATATGACCTCTTAAGTTTTCTTGGAGGACAGGCAGGTCTAAACAACTACAGCTTTACTGCAAGTGTTAGACAAAACGATGAGTTTAATGAAACTTAGAAAAACTAAATTCCACCAGATCCTATCAATGTATGATATACTATCCTCCGTTCTTTAATTCTTGCAACAGTTTGACTTTCACGTTTGCCAACGCGCAACTTTGACTGTAATTATATTTAATTATATATTAGTAAACATTATAAAAAGTTGATATTTTGAAAATTCACATTTATAGGAATTCAATAATATATTATACGTAATAATTTGATTATGCATATTAGTAGAAAATCGTGGTCAAAGTAAGGTCTGTGAATAGTGCAACAATCACAATGTTGCAAGAACTAAAGAACGGGGGAAGTAAATTTTTTCCTCTTCTGGTTGCCGCATTCATTATATTGACACCTCAAAGCTAAAATTACATACTGCATGACCATTATAAGCTATATATATGAATTGGTACCTGATTGCTATCTCTCCTTGTTCCGAAACCAAGGTGGCCAGTTGATTAAAAATATTGCCGAGCTCATGTATCGTAGCCTCCACATTTTGAAGGGCTTCAGCTCGACTTTGCATGTAGCTGTCTTGCAGGGGAACCATCTGTTGTTGTTGTTGTTGCTGCTGCTGCTGCAATAACGGTTGACTTTCTCCATCATTTTGTTTCCTGCTAGGTAGTTTTAGAGGTTGAAAACTTACGTTTACTCAAGAATAATAATTCAAATAGTAATAGTTGTTGTTTATTTCCATCATTTGCAATGGAGCCAAAGATTCATTATTTTTTGCTTGAGAATATGATGGAATAAAGCAAAATGACTCACTAAACTGTCTGCGCTTCTTTGTAATGAAGCAGCAGTCAGTCCATGCAATTTTGGATGTGATTTTCACTATGGGTCATCCAGAAACATATTTGAATCGTGTTGGACTTTTCAAATTTTCCAAATAGATATTGAAAAGGCATTGTAGAACAGCAGTACCAGTAGTGTTAATGATACGGTGATAAAGAAAAAAACATTAGCAACAACATCAATAAGGTCCACACACAAGTCAAAATCAACCACCAACCTATATAACTAATATAAGGTTCAAATGAAAATGCATCATTTGCCTATAATATAAATAAAGACCGGCTAGTACATGCTATGAGTCCAGGATGCATAGGTTATTAAATATATGAAAAACAAGTGGGCTCAAATAATTTTTGGGCAATAAAATGCCTCAGCACTTTGACCCTAACTCATTTCATGCATAGGAACAATATTTGTTATTTTACCAGACAGATATGGGAATGTGTGCAGCCCCCGTCCAAGGTCTTAATGAAGAGGTTGGGAGAGAAAAGGAGTAACAGGAGAATTGCTAAGCTACGGTGATAACAATTGCTTGCCCTTGGCAAGCAGTCGAGCAATGATATGCAAGACTTACCCTAGCTAAAGTTGAAGGACTGGACTAGAAAAACTATATGCTTTATTTTTTATATAAAAACCCACATTTTGGTCGACTGGTACAGAGTTCATCTGAAGTGTTGAAGCCAATGTTTAGTCAAGATCTTTTCAGCAGTGCTGGTAGGTCTTCAAACAATGGCTCCAGCCGCTCCACATAACCAGCCGAAGAGAAAGGGAAAGCAAGAAAAGTAAAAGAAATTTGAAACATGGATAATTTTTAAGGCCCGCAGTGAAGAAAAGGAAAATTCAAACTGCCGCAAAGTTTGAAGTGATTTGTGCATCTTGTAAGAGTAAAATGATTAATGATTTAGACAACTTGTATAAAATAATGTACACATCATTAGTATAATGTATGATGTAATTTTCAAATCTTGTGTACTAAAAAGTTTGAGAGAGGATGAAAAGATAGAAAAAAGTGAGGGGAGAGAATACGGAAATGTATGGGCATTTATGTTACTCGTCAAGCTCTTATATGCCAAAAGGGGGGAAGAGGAACAAGTATTTGAAAAATTCCTTAAAAAACAAGTGAAGAAACTAAGTGCATATGAAGGGATCAAGGGAGAATATTTTTGGAGCATGGATGCCCTAGCATGGTCTATAGCTAAATGGCAACTTAAAAGTTACAGCCGACAAAATATATAGACAGTACCGTAGTCAATCAACTAGCACAAAGAAGAATGGCAACATGAAAGCTAGAAGTAATTTAATTAGACATACTCAAAAAGTATTGCATACATCAATTCAGCTGTGACAGCCTGACACCATTTTTTGTGTGAACAATACATTTTCTACAGAAAGCTATTCCTCAATGCACATCTTAAAACTGGAAACGACAGAAACTGAATATAGTAGAATATGTTGCAAAAGCAAAGTGTGATAGAATCATAGAACATATGTTAAATACCGGCCCCTAGCTATGGCCACCTGTCAATTGAAACTCAAACAGGAATATTATAACACACTAAACTATTTGGGAATGGATTTTTGCTTCACAAGATATCTACGGTACAGACATCACAATAGAAAGATAGGATTCATTGTTTGTTAATTTCTACTGTTGAAACAAATTTATTGGGCAGAAAACTTGGACTGGACAATCTCATAAGTATCTCAGTTCCCATAATTAATCATCTTACTTTGGAAATAACTGTGAAGAAGGAGCTGACCCATTAGCCCAAGGAGGAGGAGAATGAGTAGAAGTACTAGCAGAAGATCTGGCAGCCAACGGACGCTGGCGAACGAATGGATTTGAGGAGTCCTTGGAAGCGGTAGAAGAAAACAACTGCCTTCTGTTCTCATGAACTTTCAAATTCTGTCAAACCAAAAAAAAAAAACTTGAATGAACATTAGGTCAATGAAAGACAATAACAAAGGCTAGTTCTGTAGTTCACGTACACAGCAATGGGTAAAATAAGTTAAGAGCTGGTTATAATATTATACATTATACCCGGAGAAGGTAGCAATATCAGGAAAAAGAAAGTATAATCATGAAGAGAGAAGACAATATCAGCTGTATTCACCTCTGTACGCATGGTTAGGACATCTTTGAACTCCTTGGTGGCGCTCATCAAGCGGTTCTTCAAGTCATCTACAACTGTAGTTGAATGTGTAGTAGTATCACTATTTCCAATTTCACTACGCGAGTTAGATATAAGCTGAAGATCAACTACAGCGGAATTCAGTGCAGTAATATCTTGCTTGATGACTGCAGTCAGTTCCTGAATCTCTGTGGTGGGATCATCAAAAACAGATGTTCTTTTTGCCACTGCAATGAAACAAATATGCATTACTGACTGTACGCCTTCATTGTAAGAGGTCTCGCAAGTAAATCAGTTCATTCTTGTACCCTTTATGCCACACCAAAAGAATCGTTGCATATGTAGTTCACAATTTCCAATAATATATACACATGCTAAAGTTTTTTCAGTAGGGAGAGCTAACGATTTGTATGGACTGGGGGGAACGGAAGAAGGGAGCGAAAACTATTTTTCTCTTTGGTTTTGAGAGAGAGAGTAAAGGGGGGAGGTGGTCGATGGGACAATCTTCCTCTTTTCCCTCAAATGTCATCCTCTGATCGTTCAAACTCGAATCAAATGGAAGGAGTTGCGAGGACACTCCGCCTATATTCTTAATCTTTTACAAGTACAGACTATATTACATCCCCTTCATTTACATTAAAATCCAAAGTTGGGAACACCAAAATCCTTTATAATTCCTTCTTGCTTTCCATTTCCAGTAATAATGCAGTCCACGCAGAGCTTAGTAATTTCCATGTTCTCCTTCATAATACCCTCTTCTCCTTCCCTCTATAACTAACATCCCTTACCATCAACCCAAAGACACTGATAAAAATGACCAGAGCTTAATCTATCCACTCTACTTATCTAAGAGCAGCAATCAATGTTCGAGCTATTTTAAATTATAAAATCTGACTTAAGCAAAGCTTAGTGTACGAGTTTTCGAAGATGAATTTGTTTTTCATTACGCTGTTTGTCACTATTTTCCATTTCCAAACAAATTCCAGTATACAAGACCTTCTACATAGCCTAGTAAAGTACTCCGTATATGATAAAGGTATAACATAGCTGTTTAATGCATTTAAAAGGAATCATGTTTACTTTATCATAAGGATTCTATGCAATACTATACATCACTTTCATAAAATGACAACAGTTTTAAGAACTTAAAAATTTGTATTCACATAATTATAAATAATATTTTACTCTTACTATTATTTTTATTGTGCATTACTGTAACACATGCAATATTTGCTGGAAATGCTACAGAGCATGGGGGCCAGCATCGATTTTTTGAATCAATGCAACAAGAAGGGGAAGTGGGCAAAATCAAATACAGAAGTGATATACACTCATTTCGGGCAGGATCCAGCTTTCTGCTTTGAAATCATCATTTATTTATGTAGTTGCTGCATTTAAGCTATGTAAGGAGACAGTTCCTCAGAAGGTCTCGAGATCCAAATGATAAAAACTTATTTAACATCTACTAGTTAGCATTCCGTGCCCTTACCCTCATTACTTCGTATTAGCCAAACTTATTTTAATCCCCATTTACAATTACCCACTTAGAATAGAAATAAGAATGAGATTATTCCAGGTAATTTGAAACACCCAGCACAAGAGAACACTAACATAGTACTGCTAAATTCATGCCACATATATTGTGTTAAGCATGATTGCTGTGCGGCTGTGTTATATGGAGCATATTGAAGAAAATAATGGTTTCTTTGTTTAATTTAAATGTGAACTAAACTGTGTAACCTTAGTGCACAAGAGAGAAAACTGCTAATCCGATCCTTACACTTTGCAAGCTTCGAGAGCTTCTGCGACGTATTGTGTATACCCAGCCCAATTTTCGACGCCCTTTTATTGAACTCCGACTGATTGGAGACTAAAGACCTCTGGTCCGATCTACTGCTGATGGCGCTACTACTCGCAGCATTATGCACCGAAGAAATTGATTTCTTCAGCCGTTCGGCAGTGCTCTGAAATTCAAGAGTCCGATCCCGAACAGACGCATTTGCAGCTTTAGGCAACATTTTTTCAACCTCAGCCCTCTAAATTACCATAAGCCTCCGCAAGATTTCCAATATTATACCGAAAAAGCCTAGAAATTTGGGATCCAGGCAAACGATTGAGGGAATCAACCACCAACAAGTAGATCTCTTGTCGTAGGGTTCGAATTCAAATGACTCTAATGACGTTGGTCCAGATCCGAAACCGCCATGAGCCTTGAGAAATTTCAACACATCGAACGATGCAGGTGATTTTCGTAATGGAGTTGAGAGGAGAACTGGAGAAGGCCAGCACAGCTTCCTTGCCGGTGGCGTATACCTCTCAGTTCCTTCCCAATTTGTTTTTTTAAAAAAAAATGTCCCTTTTTTAATTTACCAACCCAGAGTCCCAGACCACAACAAAGTAATTAAGGAGAAATTTAATTTTGAGCCCATTTTATGACCCTGTTGTTTTTTTATTTACTCCGTATATCTAAAAATTTTCTCCGCATGATTTTTTATTATCTCTAAAGCCATCACTTTTTTTATTGATCAAATATCATATCGAACTTGAGACTTTGAATAAATTGACTATAGTTTGAAACAAGACTCACTTGATTGTGTGAGTTTTGTGAAGATATCAAAGCTACGATATTAAAGCTAGAAGATTCCAGATTTCATCTCCTATTTCTTTTTTATATTATTTGAAAAAAAATCTTTCAAAATATCTTCATACTTTTTAATTTTGAAACTTTGTGGTATATTTCGAAGGAATTAGATCACCAATATTATTAAGAATAAGAGAAAATATAAGATATACCTCTCCCTAATTAATACTCTATATACAATAACTAAATATTACTACTAGAGTATTGTGTATCTAACTATCTACTACGTATCATTCTAAAAGCATAATCGATACGTTCTAAATTCCTATTGCCATTTCCTAGCTCCTCAGGATGCCGCAGAAATTTTTTAAGATATAAAAAAAAGTTGTATGATTTTTATATTTCTAAATAACGGCTATCCAGTTACATGTCCAACTATTTAGAGTTACTCACCGTCAATTACAATTAGTGGACAATTACAGTTACGCGACATGTTAGTTACAGTTACTCGATCCAATCAATTGCAGTTATTCGACCTATCAGTTACAGTTACCTGACCATTTATAGTTATTTGACTCTTTCAGTTACAATTACTCGACCCGACCTGTTCAATTATAGTTACCCGACCCGACCGTTACAATTACTCGACTCGAGCAGTTACAGTTAGCTGACTTGACCCATTACAGTTACATAATTCGATCATTTATATTTACTTGATCCGTTCAGTTATAGTTACTCGTCCGACCATGTACATTTATCCAATTCAACCAGATACATTTACCTGATTCAACTAGGGGTGGGCAATTCGGTTTACGGTTCGTTTTTCTTCGGTTTCGGTTTATTCGGGTTGGGAGAATTTGTACCAAACTAAAACCAGTTGTGTTTCGGTTTGGTTTCGGTTCGGTTTCGGTTCGGTTCGGTTTGAAGTTCGGTTTACCAAAGTAAAAAATATTATGTTTAATTTAGTTTGGTTTGATTCGTTTGCTTATGTTTATTATTTTATTTGATCAAGTTCTATATTTTAGAATTAGAAAATGAAAGTAATAGTCCATCTCATCTTTTTTTAATTTATTGATTATTTAAATAAAATGTAAAAGGAAAAAAATGATAGAAAAATAAATAATAAAATATTATAAATTAAAACTTCTAACATCTTTTTTATCACTACAAAAAATTCACTTCTTACAAAAAATAAGATAGTTGATTAGCATTTGTAATCTATTCTATTTATATATAAGAAAAGAAATAGCTCATACAATTACAATTTTGTCCTCAATGAATCCTATGTGTCCTGCTCTCCATAATTCTCTCATTTGATATGGGAATGCCATGTGGCCACTTTACTTCAAAAATACGGAATTCTCCAATGGTATAGAAAAGGGAGCAGCCGCACGGGATGCATTTGGTGGGACCCAAGATATTAAAAACCCCAATTTTCTTTAAAGTGTTATAACTTTTTTGTTTTTAATCCAATTTTTATAATAAATATATCAAAATTCATAATTTTTTATGATCTTTCATTTGAGATCAATATTGAATATATAAAAATATAATTTATTAACGGTCTCTATAATTATGCTTCAAATTATATATACATTCTTTAATCTATTTCGGCGTCTGAATTGGGGAAGTCATTGTAGGTGATCATTTTTAGCTACATTTCGTAAAATGTTTTTCTTTATTTCATTAATAAAATTAATTTAAAATAAATTTATCCATTCACCAAAAGATTCAACTAAATCAACCACTTCTCTCAAAATTCATCCATTTCAACTGATTCAACTAATTTCTGTACTACTAAATGGTCTCTAAAATCAAAATCAGGCCATGTAAGGAAAATCTAAAAGTACTAAATTTATTTAAGAAAACTTTCTTAAAGTATTTTATGATTTAATGTGCATTGGTTTCTGATGGATTATATGGACTCCGACCCCCCGGTATGCCGACTACTAGGCCTGGACAGCAGCCCACACACGTTTAGCGGATATCATTAATATTATTGTACATTATTATTATTCAGATGTTCTAGATTAGCTTTTTATACTATCAGTCCATTTATGTAACCGGGTCTATCAGGCCCGTATTAGAGGCCCAAATCCGGATTTTCCCTATATATACTCCTTATAGGAGGCTTGTAAACACACAACTCAATAACAAAGATTCATTCTTTCTATACACTTTCATTATTTCTTCTCTATTCTTGTTCAATCTCTCCTATTTATGCAATATGGGTATCAATTATCCAACAATGGTGCTCTCGTTGAGAGGTTGAACACAATCAAGTGAGAAAACCTCCCCAAAATACCAAAAATTTCATACCAATCTTGAAAAAATCAACCAAGAAACTGTTCAGGAAATGAAACAGGGAAACAAAAAAATCGGGAATCACAGGAATCTGGGATTTTCCGAGACCGGAGCAACCGTTGCCCTGCACTGCGTCCCAGACCAAGACGTTGTTGCCGCCTGCTGGCCGCCACTGCCACGAATCTCACCAACCACCGTGAGTTTCCAGATCAGATCTACAACTTCTGGATCTGGAAGAGACGAGCCTTACAAGCTAGGCTCCTTGGCCAGACCTTACCGTACAACGACGGCACCAGCAGCTCGATCCGGCCGCCACACTCTGTTCCAGCTTGCACTGCTGTGCCTGAGAGCCGGCCTAGCTCATTCCGATGACCAAACGGAGGGCTCTTCATTCGCACAGGGTCGTGTCGCACAGCTGTGACCCCGGGGGAAGCGACGCAAGCGCTGTTCCGACGAACCCTCAACCTCGAAGGTCCGCCATTAATGGCCGCTCACAGCTCCGGGAAGGACAGGCTACCCCAAACCCGACGCCGATGTCAGGGTCGGAAATCTCTGCCTCGCACAACACCTATCTCCCAGCGCCGCCGGTAGCTCGTCGGTACTCGAGGTCCGCGACATCGCCACTCTTCGACCAACCGTTCTCCCTTGTCACGGTAAAGTGCGGCTGCTAACAGTAACCTGTCGATGCAAAGAATAAGGAGGTTGTGTTGACCAGGTCAAAAGTCCAACATGGTGGAAGGAAGGAAAGAATAATGGCCGAACCATCTTTTGCTGCCATCAAGTTCAATAATGGGCCAATCTCACCAACATATCAAATTTCAGCCCAATTTCTTTATCAGTCCACACAATCTAATATTTCAGCCCATCAAGAGATAAGTACTCTTTAAATTTATATTATTTATATTTATTTAAATAAATTTCTTTTGTCGGGTGAATGTCACACTATCACGCACTTATGATCAAATGCCTAGTAGGGTGTGATTTGAGACCCATCACTAGGATTTAAAGTCCTAACTCCTCAGGCACAAAGCCCTGTCTCCTCAGGCATAAAGCCCCGATCAAGTCGGGCATGAAGACAAAACCCCGACCAAGTCGGGTACGAAGACCGGTCTTAGTCATTCCTCGAGTGGCGACCGTTGCTTACGAATGGCTCACTATCCATTCTACTAAGTATTTTATCATTACATTAACAATTCACATCTCCACTTATTTTCAAGTAACGAACTCCCGATCGGAAACATAAATCTCAAGAAAAAGATTTCATATTTATGATAAATGTGTAGGTACAAAGATGACTTTACTCATTTTCACCTCGTCTCCACTCGCCTCAAAGAGTGGGGACTGGGGGACTGAGGGGTCAGAGTTTCTAGAAGAGCAGAAAATATCACACATGAGCAGGAACGAGAGCTGAGTCGGTTGAAGATGAGTTGAGCTAGATTGATTATGCCGGAGGAGACTTACCTTCCTTGTTTAATGTTGGGGGATCTAGGTGTACTCTTTTTCCCTTTATTAGGATTTTTTCCCACAGGGTTTTTCCTAGTAAAGGTTTTTAACGAGGCACCTCCCCATCATGAACCAGGGTGGTGGTCCCCCGGCCGAAGAGGAAGAACGTTGCAGATACTACTCCCTTTCGCCTCGAGTACTCTCGACTCAGGGAGTGGGGGACTCCTGATGGATTATATGGACTCCGACCCCCCGGTATGCCGACTACTAGGCCTGGACAGCAGCCCACACACGTTTAGCGGATATCATTAATATTATTGTACATTATTATTATTCAGATGTTCTAGATTAGCTTTTTATACTATCAGTCCATTTATGTAACCGGGTCTATCAGGCCCGTATTAGAGGCCCAAATCCGGATTTTCCCTATATATACTCCTTATAGGAGGCTTGTAAACACACAACTCAATAACAAAGATTCATTCTTTCTATACACTTTCATTATTTCTTCTCTATTCTTGTTCAATCTCTCCTATTTATGCAATATGGGTATCAATTATCCAACAGTTTCATATATAAAAAATGCGCAAATGAAAATCTAATTACTTCTAATAAAAAAAATTGAGTTGGTCTATTTACTTTTGTTTTGAGTTGGTCTAAATTGAAGAGGATGAGTGATTTGCATTCATCAATTGTATGATTAATAAACATCTAATCTTATTTTCATTTCTATTCTACGCCCTTGGTTAAACTATTACAAACCTTATTTCTTTGTATTATAATGTCACTCAAGAATAAAACATTAGCAAATGAAAATAATAAAAACATCAAGTGCTAATAAAAAAACTTCTAAATTTAGTTCAATTTATAATTCTTTATTTTAAGGAAAAGGGGAAAATATGAAAAAAAAAATGACTTATTCGGCTGAAGTTACTTTACATAATCATTTTTAACTACTTTTTATATAATCTTTTATTAACTACTTAATTAGTTCTTTTAAGTATAAGATAAGATGGCTAACATTTGAACGGGATA